ATTGGGCGAGTCACTAGGTCGGATAATCTTTTTCTTAAGCAAGTCGTTTATGATTCGATTGACTTCAATTTTCTCGGCAAACGATAAACGCCTTGGTGAACAGAAGGCTTTTTATCATAAGACGGAAGTTGTTTGACCACGCTGAAGGTATCTGAGGGTTTACATCAATCTCATAATTTTCACTAATTTCAATATTAAAAACTTCTTTAAGTTCCGGCATTACACTGGCTTTTCTTAAGATTGGAGTGGCTTTACTGGACTTACGTTTACTGTCGCTATCATCAACAGAAATAAGCGGAAATTCGTTTTCTAGTTTATATGTAGTCTGTTTATTTGAGTAGAGCAATTCATTGTTAACGTACAAACGTATGGAAAAAGTATTTAAGAAGTCACTTCCTAACAATAGTAGAAAAGGCATTTCGTTATCGGTGAGTACGTAGACCTTTAACGGTTTAACAATGTTTTTAAATTTAATAAGAACAAATACGCTCCCTTCCGGATTCACTTTAACTCTCCCGAGCCCACTAAATACACGCACACTTCTACTGTATTTTGCTGTACCTGGGATGCACGACTGTCGGATGAAACTACAAGGGCTACCGCTGTCAAGCAATGAAAAAAATTTGACAAAATCAGGAAGACCATCACGGTTTCCACTGAAAGAAACACTTACCTTTTCCTTAAAGTGTACAGAACTAAAGTCGCCGTCGTCGTCCAATGCTGCCACAGTCTTGACGGGGCAGTTCCTGTACTGGTGCTCCTTCGCTCCACACTTAAAACAAGACCCGGGTGCTCGTCTTTTCTCTGCGCAGTCCTTGGAGTAGTGCCCATAGCGCGAACAGTTGTAGCATCTTACTGCTGACATGTCGCCAATGGAGTTTGGTGCGCTCACTTTCTTCTCGGTTGATGCCCGGAGCCTTTCGTATTGTGGTATCAACTTCTTAAATTTTTCGATCGTCGTCACTCCGCTAAAAATCAGTGCTTTTAGCCCGTCAATGATGAATTCCACCAATTCGTATTCTTCGATTGGTGCTGACTGAGCACGCTCTTGCATGCTCAGAACGTAATTCGTAAGGGTTTCTGATTTTTCCCAAACGCGCGTTTCCAACTGACGGAAGATGTCTTTGACACTTAGCGGCCTTTTGAATTCATCCATGAGTTGCTGTTTAAGTTTTTTTCACCCGTCGATGTTGCCTATGCGTAGCAATATCTGGGCGCTGCCAGTGAGCAATCGTCGCGCGATTAAGAATTTTGCCTCATCGTACCCGTAAGCTTTTGCGCTGTCCTCGAACTCGCTGATCCACTTGCCGATATCGCCC